TCTGCCCTAGAAATAAACTTGATCTGTGATCTGCCTTATCTGCTTAAAGCCAAAGTCTGTGCCTGAAGGTCTCTCCCTACAATCTAGCTCCATTTCTTCACTTTCTCATCTTATCTTTCTCATCTTATCTTAGATAAATTCAGAATCTCTATAAACTTAGCCCCTGCTTATTCTCCAGAGCTGTTGAGGTATGCCTAGGAACCCTGCTAGGCACAAACCCTGGAAAAGATTATTTAAAAAGAATCAGGGCAGTTCATTATTTGCTGTGAAGATGACTTTGCTTTCATAAAAGCCTTTCCCACTCATTCCTGAGTCTATTTGCAAAAGAGACTACTGATGCCTTATAGTTGAAAATGGTCAGATATCTGAATAAAAATATACAAATTTAAAGCAAGAAGAGACTAGGAATGGTAACCCAGACCTGTAGTCTCAGCACTTGGGGAGGCTGAGAGAGGACAGCTTGAGACCAGAAGTTTGAGACCAGCCTGGGCAGCATAACAAGACCCATCTCTATAGTAAAATAAAATTTATAAAGAAAAAAAAAGAAGAAACTTTTTTTTCCATAGAACTCATGTGCTACTTTGTTTTGCTTTTTAGAAAGTAAAAACCATTTCATTAGAAGAAGACTCAATGCACCTATAAAAACAGAACTTTCATTAGATTCTGAATAGCTAACATTCCACAGGAAATATGCACAAGTACCACAATGCCAAAACTATCATCAAAAGGAGGAACACAAGGAATATCCCTTCTTTGGGAATTCAAGTAGCTATTTTATATTGGAACTGATTGGGTAAATGGCTGCAATTTTCCATATGAGTATTTCATTGATATCTTTAAGATATCAATATATATTTCTTAACTATATTTAAAATGTGCATTTTTCTAAAGCTGTTTACTTTTCCTTTTCATAGATCACATAATTTTGAGAAATTAGACACTTACATCTGTTATGTTCTCTTTTCAGTTATTGAAAATGTATACTTTTAACTATGGTTTTTCACTTGTTCTAATGCTGGATTGTGTTTAACTAGTTTATTAATCTCATTTACTGGTAGATCATTTCAGGATAAATGCTCCTCTTAAACTTTAAATACTAAAGAATAATCAAAAAGAATTTGAGCCCTTCATTCTAGAAGCAGAAGCTCAGTTGTCTATTGCAGCATATTTCAAATTTCTATGGTTGGCATGTAAACTTTCACCATCTTCACTTTGGTTTCAGAGACATTAACGACCCAAACAAATATGATTGATACAGACATGATCCACTTTAGTTAAAAAGCTTATTTTGCTTTCATGGGAACTGCTTTCTTTATATTCTTCACCAATTATTGTGCTGAATTTCTAAAAAATGATACAAGAAAAAATAAATTATGTGATTCTTATCATGCCCTTAATTAAATAAGGAATACAGAATCTATAAATTTTAAATTGTAGATATAAATAGCTTGCTGACTATGGAAAACTGGCATAGTAGAAGGATTTGACCTAACACTGAAGTGCTTCTTGCAGCAGAAGGAGATCAAAATATATCACTCCCAAATATGCCACTTTGGCATAAGGATTATTTTGAGCTAAAGCTAAGTGAGAATCAACAGGTGTAGAGAGAATTACCTTCCCTCCCTTATCTGCCTAAAAGCAGGGTATAAATCTTCCTTTGAGAAGGATGCTCCCTTTCCTTGATACCAGTGAGAAAGACAGACTCATCATAGAAGACAGGGAGTTGACAGCAGATGAGTTTGCATAAACAGATCTTACTAAAATAGCCCTTACCTTCCATGAGTTCCTTCATATATTTACTAGTCACTTTCCATAAATCAATTCTCTATTATCTCTTGAAGCCCAGATTCTCTTTCCTTTGTTGAAAGGGTATAAAAGCCCAATCCTACTGCTTCTTTGAGTTTCACTTCTTTTCTGTGAACTCTCATGCACATAAAAATTAATAAAAATTGTATGCCTTTTCTCTTGTTAATCTCTCTCTTGTTAGTTAAATTCTCATGCCCCAGGCACTGAACCTAAAAGACTAGAAAAAAAGTGTTTCCTCCCTGACTGAGCTATAATCAAACTCAATTCAGAATATTACTTAAGTAATGAGAACTAACAGAAGTGTTAGCATGAAGGACATATCTCAGTTTATAATACCATACCTTATCTACAAAGCAAAGGAGATCTGAGAAATTAAATCTATTGAGAAATGACAACAGGTCTAATACTTAAAAAAAAAATACGGTACGTGTATTTCTCCCACTAAATATAGAAAAACAACAACAAAAAAAAATCCCTGTGTTTCAATAACCTCACCCAGCAGTAAGGAGACACCACTCAGGCATATTAATGGAGGCTGCGTGGGGAATCTGGACTTCAACCCCCATCAGTAAGTAATAAGATGGCACCTTCTTACACTGGTATCAGAGAAGGTCTGCTAAAGAGAAGAGTTAATTAAATCTAGAGTATTATAAAATAATACCCAAAATGTTCAAGATATAATCCAAAAATCACTCATTGTATCAAGATCCAGGAAAATCTCAATTTGACTGAGAAGATAATCAACAGGCAGCAATACCAAGATAACAATGCTGTCGGAATTATCTGACATGGATTTTTAATCTGCTTTAATAAAAAATGCTTCAGTGAACACTTATTTATAAACATACTTGAGACAAACAAAACAGAATCTTGGGAAACAAACAGAGGCTATAAACAAGAAAAGGGAACTGGAGAACTGAAAAATACAACTGACATAAAAAACTCAATGTATGAGTTCAACAGCAGAATTAAAAAAAAAAGAAAACAGAGGACAGAATTAGACAATCAGACTTGAAGATGGAACAGTAATAAATTATCCAAACTAAACAACAGAAAGACAACAGACTAGGGGAAAACAATCACAACAAAAAACAGAGCCTCAGGGACCGCTTAGACTCTAACAAAAGATCCAACATTCATGTCATGAGAGTTCCAAAAGGAATGGAGAAAGAAAGTGGGGCTAAAAAGGTACTCAAAGAAACAACGTCCGAAAGTTTCCCAAGTTTGGCAGACAAAAACGTACACATTCAAGAGGCTAAATGAACCCCAAATAAGTAAACTCCAAGAAATCCAAGCCAAGCAAGATACATCACAGACACCTGAAAAAAACAATGCAAAAGAAAATAGCAACAACAACAACAAAAAACTTTAAGGCAGCCAGAGAGAAATTATACCTTATCTTTAGGTGAAGAGCAATTAGAATGACAAAGATGTCTCATCAAAAGCCAAGGAATCCAGAAGGAAGTGGCACAACATTAAAAGAACTCTCAACCTGGAATTTTATATCTGGCAAAATATCATTCAGGAATAAAGCAGAAATCAAGACAAGCTCAGAAAAAGGAAAACTAAAAATTTGTTGCTAGCATACCTACCCTAAAAGAATGGCTAAAGAAAGCTCAAGGAAGAAAATCATAAAAGAAGGGACATGAACATTGGGAAGGAAGAAAAAACAATGGAAATGGTAAAAACAAGAGCTGAGAAAGGACTGAAGAGGAAGGACTATTAGAACAACATAGAGCTATATGAAACTACGATCACATAAGCAAGCCATGGATGGACTGGGTCTGTGGAGAGGAGTCTGTGCTGTAGGATTGTGCATGAGTAGAGTTTTGTTGTCTATTCTAAATATGGCAGACATACTTGGCTACCTACCCCAAAGACAAAACTTTCATTCTTTCTTAATAACAAAATCACAATTTTCTTCTGGACTAGGTATCACATGATTCGGAGGAGGCCAGTTCCCTCACAAGATTCATCAACTAAATTATGGTTTGTCAATGTCAGTTGCAATTTCATTCCTTTAACAAATACCTGGTTTACTGTGGGCTTGAGAAGCAGTTCCAGTTAAGGATTCTTGAACAGATATCTTCTAAGATGCTCGTGAGAAAGATTTCTCCATGAATAAAAACTTACGCAATAGAATGTCATTTCCCCTTTTTCTGCCTTTGGAAGTCACTGTGATAACTGAAAATGTGGCAGTCGACTTCAGACCATAAGGGGAACCCAAACATGAAGACAAACCCACATACTACTAAAAACAGACAGACGGAAAGAACGTGCTTTCTTAATGACATCATTGAAGTATTGAATTAACCAAACTTAGTATTATCCTACCTTCGAACTCATATGATACAAAATAGTTTTTTAAATCTTTCCCAAAACCCTTTGTGGTGTCACACTAAATGCTAGATAGTAGTCTATTATATGAATATACTATAATTATGAAATTATTTCTCTATAATTGGATACTTAAGTTGGTTTCTTTCTTTTCTTTTTTCCTCCCTTATAAAGGATGATGCAATGAACATCTTTTGGCATAAAATTTTAACTGAATTTAGGGTATATTTTTCATGGAATGTGTTCTGAGAAGTAAAATTACTAAGTTAAGTGATACAAACATTTTTAAATTCCCTTTGATGAGCACAGTAGCGCCAAATTGATTTCCAGAAAGTATGTTCTTATTAAACTCCTACCAACCATATGTGTGGCCTGCTTTACTATATCCCTGCCAAGAGTCATTATTTTCCCTTCATTCTTGCTGATGGCACCTCACTTTAAAAGTCTTGAATAGTTTAAATCAATTTTGGTAATCCAAGTTTCTTCCTTGAGTCTTCTTTTTATATTAAGACAATAAATTATACATAATAAAAAATTAAATGGAAAATTTTGCTATGTCAAACATTTTTATGCTACAAGCTAAAACTGAGAACCACTGATGACATCACAATAGACAACACAAAGCAAAGTAACTATTTCACTTAGGTTAAGGTTAATTCAAATTAAGCTTAATTTAAATTTTAAATAAAACAATGCTGAGTAATATTCTCTTTTCAAAAAGAGTTGAATGTTACTTGAAGAACATTAAGAAATATTGTAGCAGTCAGTAATTTGGACTCTACCATAAGAAAAATTACTAATTCAAAATGGTCCTCAATTAGATTGCAAAAATAAATTAATACTGAGTGTATACTTACAAATCAAACACCAAGTAGTGAAAACCCTCTTCTGATATGCTATCATGAAGTCGCACTAGAAAAAAATAAGAGAAGAAAAAATATGTTAGACCTTTTCCAGTGATCAATGTTAAACCAGACTTCACATGAGCATCTGTCTCCTAGCTAGAAATGTTTGCATCACATTGTATTTTTGCCTTTGATAAGTCCATATCTTTTACAACATAGCTTGGGTTCAGACAGACCTAAGGTTTGGGTTCTGGTTCTGAAAATTGGTAACTATGTCATCTTAAAAAAAGTGCCTAATTTGTAATGACATTATTACCTATGCTTTATAAAACGGTTGAGATTAAATGAAATAAAAATAAATCCACAAATTTTCAGGTGAATACTAAACAAATGTTGAGGATCATTATACTATATATCCATATACTCAAAGTTACCAGGTTCTGACAATTATTCCACTTCCTTGCCATTCCGTTTGCTATTATCTTAGCCCTAGTCCTCGCCAACTCATGCTTGGTCACTACAATAGACAGTAAGAGGAATGATTCCAAATCTAGGAAATGGTTCCCCAGACTGTGTTCTCCCTTTTGTCCAAGAAGTTCTAGGTGGCACTCCCTGGTCAACCTGGTAAAACACAGTTTTTGTTATGTTACTTATTTACTCAGGTCACCCAAATCCATTGACCAACTAATTAGCCCAAAATGTACAGCTAGAACTTTTGCTAAAATAATCTACTAGTTTCTCAGTATTACTTTAAAATTTCCAATGAGCTAGACTTTAACTGATAACTCTAAACTAAATCACATGTGTAGACTTACATACAACTTACTGTCTCTGCTGTTTATTTTTGCATAAGCCCCAAACCTTGTCCCAGTTATCCTTCATAAATAGTAAATTCATTTTTTGGGTTATTTATTTGTTTTTATTTTTTTACTTTTATTTTAGCTTCATGGATACATGTGCAGGTCTGCCACACAGGTAAACTCATGTCACAAAGGGCTGATGTTCAGATTATTTTGTCACCCAGGTACCAAGCCTGGTACCCATTAGTTATTCTTTCTGCTTCTCTCCCTCTTCCCACCGTCCAACCTCTAGTAGCCCCAGTGAATTCTTCCTATGTATCTAAATCACTGCAAGTGGTGGCTTGACCTTCACTGGAAGCAAAAGGAGGCAGGGAAAGCAACAAAGTTTTAGGACACAACTACTTTTACAAAAGTCATCACAAAATAATAACGATTTTCTACTGCAACCTGTTATGTTTCCCATGTACTGATGACCGCCATGTTGAAAATGTGAATTTATAAGAACATTTAGGCTATCACACAAACTAAAATTATTTATAGAGGGAGACTGTAGTACCCATTCAACACCCAAGCTCATAGACTTAAGATAATCTCCATGCTTTATCACCTAATTTCATCCCCTTTGGAGCTCATTCCCGGCCCCTTATTAAAATCTTTTCTGAATCCCTCTCTAGATAGGTTATAGTGAAATGTGAATTTTCTACTGTTATGAGGAGGAGGCCTATACTGTAGGCAACTGAGAATGCAGCCAACAGTTCAGTCTCAGACCCTCTACTTAGCTCTTGAGTGCGTGAAATGTAAACATACTGCAGTATCTCCGCCCTGCCACCCTTATCTTATTTGTTTGTCACAGTGTCACCTTTGAATTCATTCACACAACATATTTTATTTTTATTTACTATCTCTAATACCTTTCCCTTCTTCAGTATAGAGAGTATCCTCATCAATACTCCCAAACTGGAACCATATTTTATAAGTCTTGCATCCCACACAGAGATCTGGCCTATAGTAGATGGTCTGTCATCAAATTTTTTTTGAACATTTACTGTAGAAGGTTTTTGGACAGAAATTTTCACCAAGGATCGATACATGTATTATATATACACATAACACATACAAACACACACACACACACACATGTACATAAATAAAATAAAATGATTGCTACAGAAGCAATTCTTCCACCACTTTAATGGTGTGAAAGGTATTCTTCAAGTTGCTAGTATCAGAGACGCTTGCTACCTTTGCTTAAACTGATGCTGTTGAAGAAAATAAAGAGTTTGGTTTGATGATGTGTCTTTAAATGATCATTTAGTACAGTAATGAAAGCTGGGTCATGGACAGTAGCTCACTGGCTTTCTTGAATGACAGCTTCAGAGATACCTCACTTAGCAGCTATAACACAGTAAATATTCAAATAAGCTTAAATAATGGCATGGCTTCTTAAAGAACTCATACAATTATTCTGAAAAATAAGATGAATTCCTATGTTATCAAAGTTACACTGAAAAGTAAAGTCTACAATGTGAGCAGGAGAAAATCGCCGTTACTTTCTTCCACTATCTGAAAGTAAAATCTTCAGGTACAAGTGGGATGTCGGGTGTCCAGTTCAAAGAGGTGTACAGCTGAACAGAGGAGGATATTTCAGGTACAACTGGAGAGCAGTAATGATTTCTGACTATCCTGGGAATAATATTTTCTTAGAATGATTACCACTAGCTTATTAATACTAAATATCATCATTCAGAAATTATTTTTTGAACAAGTCAAGAGTTGTTCAGATACAAGCCTGATAATCAAACATACGATACAAAAGCACTTAAGCAGCTAACATGTGATAAGGGTTTGAGACAAATCATTTAGTCAAGTCTACTTCTTTTGCATCACCCAATTTCAAAATAACCTCTCATATATCTAACCAGCCACTTGACCATGTGATATTATGAATGTGTTATTGATGTAGCAGAAAAAAAGTCAGCATCATGTTTACTGGATTAATATATACTTTCTTCCTTCCTTCCTTCTTTCCTTATATCTTTCCCTACCTCTTTCTACTCTTTTATTTTAATTAACTCAAAAATCAGAATTACATGAAATTGTCATGATTTTCACTTACTATATTAACAAAATCAGATAATATAGTCTTCACAGAGATATTCCACATATTTACAATCACTGTGAGGATGAGCTTGTTTCCTTTAAAAATTTTTAACTCTTCAACTTTTATTCTGAGTTGATGGTATGTCTATATAGTCTGAAAGATAGCATTTTAGTCGTAGACATCCTCTATTTCCCTTCAAGTCTTTTCTGTTGGTCAAAAGTATCCTTCATCTCCTATCCTTTTTTCCTTTATAACAGATTCTCAAGGAATGAAATCGTGTTTACTTTTACAAAATGTTACATTAATTATTCCCTATAAATAACTGTCAATTCATTTTCACCGCAAAGGAATAACACAACATTCTGTTCATCACAGCTGTTAGCTCAAGATTGACAGCACTGGGCATGCTGCATTTTGAAGCATACTGCACCTCATTCTTTCTATGACTGCTCTGTTATTGCCATAAGCTTCACATATGAGTCCATGCAATTAGCCTAATGACAGTTGTCTCTATGATGTCTTTAGAGAGAAATTTTAAAGAAGATAATGAGAAAAACATTTGAGAAAACAGGTTGTAATACATTTTGACAGTCATTCTTTTTGAAGTTTGGTCAAAGGTAAAATTAAGTATATGAATAAATGAATTTTCACAACCTGAAACAGCACAACGGTTATCATCTGGAATAGAATTTTAGATTCTGGAACTTTAAGTATGGAATTTATAAGGGGATAAAAGCTTCTGAGGCTAAAAATAGTTCCAAAGGTTAGTTGACCCATGACCTTATTCTTTTCCTTTCTCCCCTGCATGTGTTATCACATTTGAATGATCACAGGATCACTGCTTCCTCTTCCTGTCCTTTGTTCTTGCATTATTTCATTGCAGTTTCTAGCTAAACATTAGCTCCATAAAGAAAGGGTCAAATCAACCATGGTCCTTATATGATCTGAGAAATTTTAATTGAATATGCTAGAAGTTTTCTATTTATTTTAATTCTTCATTTCACTTAAGGGGTTAAAAGATCTAATAAAAGTTATAGTTCTTACCGTCAGGCACAATGCAAATAATTTTTGCAAGAGTTATTGTATTTAATATATGCAAGCACCACAAGGACACTTTGCCATAAGCTTTTGCAAATGAATGTTCGCAGGCTTAGAGGCATGGAAGAATCTTCCAGGTTAACAGCCAGTAATTAGCCAGGCGAGGACCAGAATGTAGAGCTGGATGATTCCAAAGTTGTTCTTACTGAGAATACTATGGGGGTTCCCTAAAACCTTTTCGTCAACAAACTACTTGCCAAATACCTGGTGGCATATGAACTGGTTTGTCAGGGTGAAATAATATTCAAAAGAGAGGAAAAGAAAAAAAAATATTATGGTGACTAGAGAAAGAAAAATAGTAACAAGTAAGTAACAGACAATTTCCACAGAAAAAGAAAACCATTTTGAGTGTAGGTTTAAAATGGGATGCTATAATTTGAGGGTATAGAGATACCTAGATGATGTCTAGGAGATGAGGCCACATTTATCTCTCTATACAGTTCATAAAGCCCCAGAAAATAGTTATTTTTCCACTTCAAATTAGGAATATGAGAATTTCCAGTGACTCAGCTGTTTTATCTGACAGAACATTTAATCTAACAAAAATGGTAGTAAGTTGAAGAATCTGAAAGCTTACCCAACATATAAAGTATCATAAATTTAAATTATTTTCATTTTCAATAATTACCACTTTCACATCATGAACATTATGATAACATGGGCAAAAAGGGGTGTGTGTGTGTGTGTGTGTGTGTGTGTGTATGCGTGCTCATGCGAAGGAAAGAGAGAGCGGAAATGAAAATGAATGTGCAAGGGAGAAGAGAAAAAAGAGAAGGAAAATTAAACTCCAAGTAGAAGCCATGTGAAGTACATCTTATCCATTTTGATGACAAATGTTAGAAACACTTCTGTCAAAAGAAAAGGAATATATTATTTTATAGAGACTTATCCTTCATAAAAGGCTAAAAGGATATACAAAGTCAATGTTTTCTATTTCAGTACTTTCTATTTCAGACTTCCTTTCTCCTCCATTTCTTAACAGTAACCCCCACACAAAATAAAACTGTGGTTGTGAATTACGATTTTTATATGAAATTATTTATACAAAATATTATTTGGTTCAAATCA